CCCATCATCCTCTTGAAGTAGCTTGTCATGAAAAGTCCTAAATTCTTAAAACACTTGAAGTGCCATATTCTGAAGGTCTCTGAAAGATTGGAAGAATACCTATCCATCTGAACTACATTTCTATACATCTAGAAAATTTAAGTAACATGACTACAGGCTTGACTATTAAAGATTATTATCTATTAATCTTAATTTCGTAATTATATATTACATTTTAAATGAACTACACAATCACGATACCTTAATCAAGAGAAGAAATACACATATAACAATATTAACCTTAAATTTGTATCAATAAACCAAGATCCATACCAATGCAAATCTCTATAGCATGGACCACTTCACTTTTCCATCTACACTTGCTTCCTTAGATCTCTCATCTAGTCTCCATTGGCTTTGTTCAAGTTCTACCTGTGCTTTGTAGTTGCCCTAATCTTTCTAGAGTGAATATCCAAGGGACTGCATCCTCCAGGTGCCTTTTCTCTTTCTATGATGGTAAATTGGAAGTTGAATATTGGTGCAAGTATGGTTCAACTTATTCTCTAGCACTTGGTAGTAAAGCACAGTTAAAACATACTAATGTTAAAAATGATTCATGTTTATCTGAAACTTAAATTTAACAGGTTTACTGTAATTTTATGTATTAAATATGGCAACTATGCCAGTATTAAGTCTTTGCCCTTCCTTAGGAAACATCACTCAACACACAGAGCCAGGCACTCAAGAGATCTCTACACAAATGATGGGGTGTTGTCTCTAGGTCATGGTTCTGGTTTTCCAGTCCTCTGTCATTTGAATTCTCCTCACTCATCCCAGCATCTAACAGCAATGTCTCCAACTCAGCGAGAAGACCATGTTCTACCAGGGTACCCTCCTTCCTAAACACTTTACCACAGTCCAGAGGGGCACATAGGAAAGAGGACAGAGTGGATGTACAATCACCTCATTCTCCTTCCATGGATCATAACTCTGAGTTGCCTCTTGTCTGAAGATGATGTAATTGTTCTTATAATTATACATTCAAACCACAGAATTTTCTATGAGCCAGTATGTCATCCACCATATCCACAGATCATAATTTTTCAATTTCTTTTCCAAATCAATCTTTTTTATTTTAATTTATGTATCAGCCCCATAAAAGCAGAGTTTTACCTATTTTATGCATATTATGTCTCTAGTGCCAACTCTTCTGGCAGGTAATAGACACTCAATATAAATTTGTCGATTAAATTAATATAGTGTGATAATTAAGAGAGATTGTCTGGGCTTGAATGCTGGCTCTCTTAATTGCTAGATGTATTGCCAATGGTCTGAATTAAATTTCCTTGGCTTTGGTTCTCATTTTCATCAGTAACTGGATGTTGGAATAGTAACTACCTATGGAATTGTAAAGATTGAATGAAGATAATCAGCTAAAAAGAATTTAATGGAGTACCTGACACCTAGTTGATTCTTCTGCTTTTAATTAGGCCACCACATAAGTTTATTTCAGATATAACAGTGTTGCAGGGAGACCATTTGTTTGTCCCGGCTGCCCAGCCCCGAAATAATCACACAGAAACTGTATTGATTAAATCACTGCTTGGCCCATTAGCTTTAGCTTCTTATTGACTAACTCTTACATCTTAATTTAACACATTTCTCTTAATCTGTGTATCACCAGAAGGTCATGGCCTACCAGCAAAATTTCAGTACATCTGTCTCTGGTGGCAGATCCACGGTGTCTCTCGGACTCTTTCCTTCTCCCAGGATTCAGTTCTTTCTTCCCTGCCTACCTGAGTTCTGCCCTATCAACAGGTCAAAGCAGTTTCTTTATTCATTAATGGTAATTACAGCACACAGAGGGTAATCCCACATCATAACAGCACTATTAAAAGTGACAAGTTTAATTCTATTTTTTACTCTTATTGGGGTTTTTTTTTTTGTGGATTTTACATCTTGTATTCCAGTTCTACTCATTGCCTGTCTCCTCACATCCGCATTTGCCCTCTGTCCTTGCAACCTCACCTGAATCAAAACCAAATTTACATATACTATCATATCATCTGCAAATGATGAGAGCTTGACATCTGCTTTTCCAGTTTGTATCCCCATAATCTCCTTTTGTTGTTTTATTGCTCTAGCTAGAACTTTGAGTACTATATTGAGTGGACAGCGTTGTCTTGTTCCTGATTTTAGTGGAATTGCTTTTGATGTTGGCTGTTGGCTTGCTGTATATTGCCTTTATTATGTTTAGGTATGTTTCTTGTATCCCTGATCTCTGTAAGACGTTTATAACGAAGCAGTGTTAGATTTTTTTAAAGGCTTTTTCAGCATCTAATGAGATGGTCATGTGGCTTTTTTTTTCTTTCAGTTTCTTTATATAAATCCATATGGTGGATTACATGACAGATTTTTATATGTTGAACCATTCTTACATCTCTGGAATGAAGCCTACTTGATCATGGTGGATAATTTTTTTTTGCATGATGTGTTCTTAGATTCAGTTTGCCAGTATATTTGCATCAAAGTTCATGAGGGAGATTGGTTTGTAATTCTCTTTCTTAGTTGTGTCTTTGTGTGGTTTGGGTAACAGGGCAAGTGTAGCCTCATAAAAAGTGTTTGGCAATGTTCCTTCTGTTTCTATTGTGTGGAACAATTTGAGGAGTATCAGTATTAGCTCTTCTTTGAAATTCTGGTTGAATTCTGCACTGAAACCATCTGGCCCTGGGCTTTTTTTTTGGTTGGAAGACTTTTGATAATTGCTTTTATTTCCTTATGGGCTATAGGCCTATTTAAATTGTTTATCTGGTCTTGATTTAATTTTGATATGTGGTACCTATTCAGAAAGACCTAGTAATAGCGCTCTTGGACATATACCCAAAGGATGCACAATCATGCCACAAGGACATTTGCTCAACTCTGTTCATAGCAGCATTGTTTTTAATAGACAGGACCTGGAAATATCCTAGATCCGCCTCAACCAAAGAATGAATAAAGAAAATGTGGTCCATTTACACAATGGTGTTAATGTGGTTAAAAAAAAAACAATGACATCTTCAAATTTACATGCAAATGGATGGAACTAGAAATAAAAACATCCTGAGTGAGGTAGTGCAGACACAGAAAGACAAACATGGTATGTACTTGTTCATAAGTGGATATTAGACGTAAAGCAAAGAATAACCAGGCTATAATTCACAGCCCCAGAGAAGCGAGGTAAAAATGAGGATCCTAAGAGGGACACATATGGAGGGCCCCAGGAAGGAGAAATAATTAAGATCTTCTGCGTAAACTGGGAAGAGAAGAAAATGAAAGGGGATGGGGGATGGGAACATGAGGGATGGAAATGGCCCAGTTGGGGGAGGGACGGAGAAGGAGAACAATGAAAGAGTGGGAGCCACTATGGGGTTAGAGAGAAACCTGGTGCTAGAAAAATTCCCAGAAATCCACAAGGATGACCCCAGCTAAGACTCCTGGCAATAGTGGAAAGGGTACCTGAACTGGACTACCCCTATAATCAGATTAGTGATTACCCTAATTGTGATCATAGATCCTACATCCAGTAACTGATGGAAGCAGATGCAGAGATCCACAGCTAAGCACTGGGCTGAGCTCCAGGAGTCCAGCTAAAGAGAGGAAGGAGGGATCATATGACCAAAGGGGAATCAAGATCATCATGGGGAAAACCACAGAGACAGCTGATCCGAGTTAGTGGAAGCTGACAGACTCTGGACTGACAACTGGGGAACCTGCATGGGACCCAACTAGGTTCTCTGGATGTGGATGACAGCTTTGTGGCTTGATCTGTTAGGATGGGGGCTGGCAGAGAGACCAGGCCTTGTCCCTGGAGCATGAACTGGCTCTGGGGGGGTCCATTCCTTATGGTGGGATACCTTGCTTACCCTTGATACAGGGGGGAGGGCCTTGGTCCTGCCTCAGCTTGGTATGCCACACTTGGTTGACTCCCCAAGGGAGGAGGCCTTACCCCCTCTGAGGAGTGAATGGGGATGAAATGGGGGAAAGGTGTTGGGGGAGGACTGGGAGAAGGGAAGGGAGGGGGAACTGGGGTTGATATGTAAAATGGAAAAAAATTCTTAAATTAAAAAATGTAAGAGAAAAACCCCAAACCAAACAAAATCAACAAACAAAAACAAGAAATAAAAATCTTGTCATGGAAGCTGTAGTGCAGCTCACAGTTACCCCTCAGTCCATTCATTTTTACTTGCAAGGGTTCATTGCTGGCGCCATCAGTCTGGCTCGAGGGTTCATTGCTGGAGCCATCAGCCTGGCTCGAGGGTTCATTGCTGGAGCCATCAGTCTGGCTCAAGGGTTCATTGCTGGAGCTATCAGTCTGGCTCGAGGCCCCTGGTTTCTGCTACACCAACAATGTGCTCTCACCAGGGCTCCTCTTGGATTGCCCATTGCTGGCCTGTGTCATGGAGGTCCTGCTGGTGTGGATCTGCAGGTTTGTCCACTTCACATCCTCCAGTTGTTCCATAAATTCAATGGATAAGTTTAATTCTTAATTGCACCAAGTAAATTTCCATGTCTGTATTTCTGAATCTGTTATTCCCATGAGTGAAGCCAGAGCTTTGCTTTTCTACACCACACACATTGTTTCGTGACAGTTGTCTTTGGAAAGAACTTTCAGCTCATGTCTGAAGGCCTTTGGAGCTTCTTCAGAACCCCTTCCCCACTGGCTGGTGGTGGCGCACGCCTTTAATCCCAGCACTCCGGAAGCAGAGGCAGGCGGATTTCTGTGAGTTCGAGGCCAGCCTGGACTACAAGAGCGAGTTCCAGGACAGGAACCAAAGCTACACAGAAACCCTGTCTCAAAAAACTAAAAAAATAAAAAATAAAAAAGAGCCCCTTCTCCAAGCGAAAACTAGTCCGGACAAAGCACAGATTGCGCAGATTTGGATCCAATACGATGGACAGCTGGTGATCTTCCATTGGCTAGTACTGTCTTACCGTGTAGATTACTTTTGTAAATGTTTTGTTTACTTTTAGGTGTATAGATACCGTGTCTGCATGTATGGATGACAAGTGCTGATTGCCAACTGCAGCTATGTCAACCAGGAATCCTTGTGGAAGTCACCATGAGGGCTGAAGATGAGGGTCAGTGATAATGCTCACACCATGCCAGGGCCTAAGTTCTGTTGTCATGACTACAAACCCTGCCCCCTCTGCTGATAAGCATGATGTCAGACACAGTCTTTAAAACAGGCTAAGAATATATCATATGTCTCTCTATATAATTGCATCATGAAGGTCTTGACTTTAGACCATAGGTCTAACTGGTTCAAACAACTTTCAGAGTCTACTGACGTTCATAATAAATAAATGTAATAATTATAATTTATGATTTTGCTGGGGCATTAGGAATAAGGAATAATAGTTTGAAACAGTCTTGTCACAAAACCACAATGTCTATTCAGTTCATTTGAAATGATAAACTCTCACAATATGTCAACCCCCCCCCCCAGCTGCTTAACTAAGATTCAAGGAGCTATCTGAGTTCTGATGCTGTCTCGTGCTTTAACCACATGACCAACATGAAAGTTTTCAAAATTTGATCTGTTTTCAGAAGTGGACCTTGGCATCCCCTGCATCCCGATTACTTGGCTCAGAGTTCACTCTTGTCCCAGCTAAGTCCTAACTCCTGTGGTGGTAAGACCTTCCTCAGTAGTTTTGTGTTTGAATTCCCTTTCCTTTCTGGAGCACAGAGAGCTGGGTCACCAAACAGCCGACGGAATTACCTGGGGTCACCGTGTGTTCCATGGGAACACTAGGGGTCATCTGAGGAATCACCGGGCACCACCATGTGACCTATGGAAGTATTGATGCCCAGGGCTTAACATTTGTTGTGAACATTAAGATTTTTTCCTTTTTATTTGGGTCCTGGCTCCTGTGGCCCCTAAAAGAAGTGATTTAATGAATCATATTTTCACCAAGTCCCAGCCCTTAATCTAATAAAGAGCACCCCCAAAAAACCTGGGAATTTATTCATGTGAAAATTCTTATAAAACTATAAAATCGAATCGTGTTATTGATCCTCTATTGAATCCCTTTTTTTACAAAGAGAAAGTAATATGACATTGGGACTATTTCAGGAAATCTCTAATCTTCCTTATTTTGAAATGTGCACTTTCAATTCTTTTCTGGTTTAACTTCCATGCATAAACTACTCTTACACTTTGGGCTACATTATACTTTTATGTATGTTAAGGCAATCCCACATCCTTGCTTTGCTTGGCTTTTGCTGTCACTTACTTGCTATGCTAGGGGTCAGTCCTGGGGCCTTGTGCATCTGAAGCAGGCCCCCCATCACTGAGCCATATCCCTCCACCTAGAATTTTACAGGTCACTTTCTTTTCTTACAGTTCTTTTACATACAGGAGTTTCCCCCACACATTTCAGTGAGCGTGTGACTTTTTTGTGTACACTTTCCTTTCTTTACATTTCAATTTCAGGACTCAAAGCCATCATTCCAAATCTGCCCAGTGGCGGCTCTGAGTACCTGTCTGTTATTTCACCAGAATTCCACATCTTGCCACCTGTCAGGGCACTGCCAGAAGCAGTGTTTGCTCCTCCGCTTTATCCCTGGCCAATCTAAAATACACACCAGAAAACAGCCATAAAAGCTGGGTGGTTTATTGACTTGTATGTCTCCTCTGGAAGGCTTCTCCAGTGCTGTGAGCCTGTTATTTTAAAACATTTATTTGTTAGGGCAATTTAAGACTATCGTCAAGTGTAGTCTTACATGGTAGCTCAAAAAGTAAAGCTAGATAAAAGGTAATTGCTCTGTTGATGCTGGGATGAGAAGTGGAGACCGGAGCGCTCAGCATCTTTCAGCCACTCATCTCTCGTCTGAACCCTCTCAAGGGTCTTGGGAGAAGCCTGAGCGTATCATTTCCATTTCACAGAGCCACTGAAGGTCAAGCTCAACTTCAATTCTGTTAGTTTTGTTTAACTTACATATAGTGTAGTCAGTCCCTCATTATTTTTCCCTCAACAATTTTGTTTTCAAAATAATCAGTTAATTTTTCTGGCTTTTTGACTTGGAGTCCCCTCACCCAGATTTCTAAAAATTATATGTTTGCTGCCAACTTAAATTTGTTGATAATAGATATTTTCTACGAATTACCGTTTCACGGTATCATTATATTTTCAAAGTTTAATTCACCTGCTAGTTTATGTTCCCCTTAGTTTGATGATGTAAGGATTGTTTACTTCTGAGTCAGTTTGCTTACTGGTTAGTACAACTGTAGTTTTTCCTTTTAAAGTTATTAAATATCAAACAAAAATATTTGCTTAGTGTTTTGTACCTTGACTTCTATGCATGAACAAACATCGGCTACACACTTGAATGCATACCTTTTTAAATCCCTAAACATGTAGAAAACACCAGTTCTCTTCAAAGTCCCCCTGCACAACCACCCACCCACCCCACCCCCCACCCCCCACCCCCCACCCTCCACCCCACCCTCACCCCCAAGTGACCTTTTCTCCGTGTCTGTGGCACAACCAATGCCACGAACCTATCTGTGATTTATCCACCTGAGATATGAATGGAAGGTGATACTGAATCACCAAACCTTTGCTCCCTAAAACCGCCATAGTGCACCCTCACACCAGCTCGCACAGAGAGCCCTCCCTCCTCCTTCCTGCCTTCCAGTCTTCCTACTCCTCACCTCCATCCTTACCTCCCTTTCTCTTCCTTTCTCAACAGGCCTCACCATGCGGCTCGGGCTAGCTTCAGACTCAGGATCCCCATCTCTGCCCTCTGAGTGCTGAGACAGTAAGTGTGTGCTCCCACCTACAGCTCTCTGAAAACAGTTTCCTCCCCTTTCGTCTTTGAAAACGCATCTTTCCGTGGCAAACTGTCAGACAACGTTCTGCGCTCTTCTGGCTTTCTGACTCCACAGGGATGTGTGCTGCTGTATGTTTATCAGAGGGACATGTGGTCTGTTCACTCTTTGGGTCTGAATTCTTGTAGTCTATATCTGAGTTAAGTCATTTTTAAAAATTAACTAAAAATAACAGACTTAGTTGAATGACATAAAGTAACATTGTCTAAGGACAAGTTTTGGGTTTGCCTAAATTACCTATAGCAATAATGATTGAATTCATCATTGTTGCTACGGTCAGTTGAGTCACGCTTCATTTAACAACTTTTTATGAAACTCATGTAAGCGACTCAATCCTTCTAACATAACATAATCCAAAGATCCACTAACTTGATACTTCTATGCTAGGAGTGATAGCAGAAAAAAATATTTTAAAGTCTTTATTTTATGTAATTGGGCCATTATGTTTCTATAAGAGTGGAAATGTTGTATGTCCAGTAAAAACGCTGCAGCTCATAACATTAATACAGTGACCCTGAATCTGAGCTGAGGTGTTTCGGGCTGCATCTAGCATGACGCTAGGCACCGTACAAGGTCCCCATGCCGCGTGGTCCACTGGCGTGACACTGTGTGCAATGCAAGGTCCCCATGGCATGTGGTCCAGGGGCGTGACGTTGTGCACAGTGCAAGGTGCCCATGCTGTGTGGTCAGAACTAAGGCTACAGTGAAGTCACATGTGTCAACCTGGGCAAGTGCTACCACAAATGCCTTGGATTTATTACACATTTAATCTGAATACATTCTCAGTCATTATCCATTCAGAAAAGGCTTACTATTGCCAAATTTTTCCACAATGCCCATGTATGATTACCTAACTATATGCTGGGGTCATGACCCAGAGATTAAGAAGCCACTCTCTTTTCTCAGTCTCATTTCTTTCTTTTTGAGGAAAAGACCATGCAGCTGATGAATTTGATGAGAAGAAGGGCCTCCTCAGCTCTGCCTACTCTGTTTCTCCTATTTGCTTCCAGGCTACTCACAAGAAGCAGACACTGCAGTTCCTTCTCTACCATACACTTAGGGACTGGTCCTGGGGGAGGCTTTCACTTGTTCATCCTGCTCAAGACTGTGTGTCCATTATCTGATGAAGGGGGTTGCAATAAGAATCTCACTGTAACCACAATTGTTTTCCAATATCTCTGCAATAACAACGGTGATGTTTGTGCTCTAAAAGACTTTTACGTCTCCCTCTCAAGGGCCCTGAAATAAAGAAATAAAAACAATTGCTACTGTCCTCTAAAATCCCAGGATGCGTGTTATTATTCAAAGTGTGTGTATATAAAATGGTGGATATTTGTTTATACAAAACTATGAATGGTTTGAAAAATATTTTTTAAGACAGAGTGTTTCTGTGTAGTCCCAGCTGTCCTGGCATGTGCTCTGTAGTCGGCCAGGCTAACCTCAAACTCAGAAATCACCTGTCTCTACCTCCCAAGAGCTGGATGAAAGAATTTAAGAATGATTTTGTCACTCCTTGTTTTCTCTTTGATTTCCGTGACCTTGAAACCCACACCACTGGTAACATTATAATGTCCTGCTCCCAGCAAGAGCTAAAGGAGTTGATCTCATAATTGCCAGTGTGTTCTCACAGCCTCGTTGAGTGGCTCTTGTCATCAGAAGGGGCGATGGAGTCCTATCAGATTCAGCAGAATGAAGGCACTCACCTTAAGGCATTTGTGTGACAGTCACCTATTTTTACATAATAACCATGCCTCTGCCATTAAACAAAGCTGGGATCACTCTTCATCACGGACTCATCCTTTAAAATCCCGTGTTAACTAACAGGGTTCGTGGGCCCTTTACTTCTTCAGTTTGACAAACTTGCTTTTATAACAGACAGTCCCAATCCATATACAAAACAGACATATCATACGATGGGGCAAGAAACCTATGGTTACTTTTTAAACTCCTTTTTTACTCTTCTGTTAATAACTCTGCTGTGCCAAGATTTTACACTATCCAACAGAGAAAGTGAAAGACCTATCCTTTGCTGGTTACAACACCAATGAACAAATAGAGGCACGAGTAGATGGGAAGACTTCCTACGCTTGTGGAAGGCAATATTAATATTGTAAAAATGGTCATCCAACCAAAAACAACCTAGGATTATGTACAATACCAACCAAAGTTTCTATTTCACAGAAATAGGAGGAAAACGATCCAAAGTTATCCTGGAAACACAAACTCCCCAACAGAGACAGAGCGATGCTGAGCAGTAAACACTGATGGAGGAATTACCTGATTTCAAGTTATATACTACAAGACTATAATAATAAAAGCAGCATGGGTCTGACACAGAACTAGACCTGTTACGCAGTGGACTGCTTTAGAGGACATGGATCCACACAACCATGCCATCTGATTTTGACAAAAGTTCAGTAAACGCACACTGTAGGCAAAACAGTCTCTTCAAGGAATTATGCTAGAAAAAAATGGACACCCACTTGTGGAAGAATGAAACTAGTTCTGCCTCTCTTTTTTCCTCTATTTTTTAATAATTTATTTAACTTTATTTTCTGTGCATTGGTATGAAGGTATCAGAATATCCCTTGGGACTGGAGTTATAGACAGTTGTGAGCTGCCGTGTAGGTGCTGGGAATTGAACTGGGTGCTCTGGAATTGCAGCCAGTGCTTTTTCCTGCTGAGCCATCTTTCCAGCCCCCTAAATCTTCCTCTCTTTCCATGTACAAAAATCAGCTTGACAGGGACCAAAGACTTCAATATAAAACCAAAATTCTGAAACAGTGGAAGAAAACTGAATGGCTAGTCTACAACATAAAGATGTATGCAAGGAATTTCTAAATAGGACACTGGTAGTTCAGTTCAGGAGGTAAAACCGACAATTGACAAATGACACTGTATGAAGTTAAAAAGTTTCTGTAAAGCAAAAGAAAGTGTCAGTCAAGTGAAGAGGCAGCCTACAGAAATGAGAGAAAAAATGCCACCTGTGTATTGGACATAGAATTAATATCTAGAATATACAAAGAGCTCAAGAAATTGAACATCAAGAAAATAGCCTAATCAAAAAAGGGGGTCTGGAACTGAATAGAGGTCTTCAAAAGAAGAAATAGTAAAGGCTAAACCACATTTGAAAGTGTCCAACAGTCTTAGCTTTGGGGATCTGCAAATTAGAATTATTTTGAGATGCCAATTCACCCTAGTCAGAATGGCAACTATGAAAAAATTCAGATACTGTTGCTCACGGTTCTTGGAGTGGAGATTGATGTAGCCACTGGAGAAATCACCAAAGAGGTTCCTCAGAAAGCTAGAACTATAAATACCATACGACTCATCTAGACTGCTCCTGGGCGTATACTTGAAAGATTCTGTATCTTACTGCAGAGTTAGCCTGCTCATGCATTTCACTGCTGCCCTTTTAATAATAGCTAGGAAGCGGAATCAGCCTAAACGTCCATCAGCAAGCAAATGGTCCATGAAAGTGGGATACACACACAGTGGAATTTTATTCAGTTGTAAAGAAAAACAAAATTTTGGGATTTGTAGGTAAATGGATGGGATTGGGAAACTTACATTGTGTGAGGTAAGCCAGGCCCAGAGAGGCCAGAGTTGCTTATTCTTTCTTATCTGGGTCCTTGTTCTAAATCTTGTTTTAAACATTTAAGTTGAAGCACCTGTAGAAGTCAAGAAAATAGAAAATGGTCATTATGGGGGTGATGCTTTAAGGAAGTGTGGATAGCAGAACACGTGATATAAAAGTAGGGAGGGGAAATTCTGGAGGGTTGGAAGGTTAACGCAGAAATGGGGTACAAGGATAGGGGAGAGAAAAAAAGGTGGGGAGGGAGGCTTAACCAAAGTGAAGGTTTATTGTTTTTATTTTAAACCCACATAAAAACCTGCTAGTTTGTTAGCCAATTAAAACTGTTAACAAAGTAATCAGAAAAAACTGATCCACATGGCAGGATAATGCAACTCCTAGAAGCTATTGTTGACCCCAGTGCCAAGTGTGGGGAGATACTGCCTTCCGAGTCATTGGACAACAGAGAGGCTGAGAGGTCCCCCTAAAACAATCCAGGCTCTTCCCATCCACTTGGTTGTATACCAGAACTAGGTAAGACTATTGTTGAAAGTGCAACATGGCTTTGTTGCAAGATATAGAGACAGCAAACTCAAATGCAGCTTCCTACCTGCTGGCTAGCTTTCATAGGCTCTGGCAGAGGTGAAGCAGATGTGGTCTAACCCAGATGTGAACCCTACAAACTACAAGTCAACCAAATGTGCCCAGTGGTGTAGTAGTAGCGCAACCACTGTGTGAGGAACCAACTACTCTAGGAGTCTGAGGCCCATTCCACAGGAAACACATGCCTGGCAATCTAACTGGATCGAATCTCACAGCTGAGGTGGCTTAGCTAAACTGTTACAGCGCTAAACTGCTGTCTAAATATTTATGCTTTATAATAACCATATCCAAACTCTAATTCTCAAAGAAGCTGCTCCTCACAGTGAACAGCAGTGGGGGGGGGGGGTGCAGTTTCGTGACTTTTAAGAGAATAAATGGCCATCCAATGCTCTGTCCTAAACAGGATGTCTAGACCACCAGTAAGGCTTACGGGGCATTGCTGTGTGGGTGTGGAAGGAATGGACGAGTCAAGAAAGAAGAGGAGGCTGCAAAACCTATCTCCAGGACGTGACTCAGGCATTGCAAATGCGATCTCATGGCAGCCGGGTTGCTTGCACAAGATGGGGCCTGTCAGGCAATCAATAACGAACATGGTGGGGTCATGAGACCTTACCCGTCTTTGTTGAACTATTGATGATTGATAGACTCCAGGGGTGGGAAAGTTCTTGTCTTCCGTTAATGACCAAATATTGATCCCAGCAGACTCCATTGTATAGTTTCAAGTAAGTGACCACATGGAGGGTCCTAGTTAAAAACAGTAGGGTCATAAAAGAAAACAAAAATACATGAATATAGAAAAGGCAGCAGTTAGCTGGGTGCTGGTGGTGCTCGCCTTTAATCCCAGCATTTGGGAGGCAGAGGCAGGTGGGTCTCTGTGAGTTCAAGGCCAGCCTGGTCTACAAGAGCAAGTTCCAGGACAGGCTCCAAAGCTACAGAGAAACCCTGTCTTGAAAACGAGAGAGAGAGAGAGAGAGAGAGAGAGAGAGAGAGAGAGAGAGAGAGAGAGAGAGAACAGCAGGAGGGAACATGGGATAGTGGCAGGGGTCAGAGAGAAATGAGGAAAGGTGGAGTGAGAGCAAGCAGAATACCCTGTATACACGTATGAAAGTCAAATAGCAAATTTAATCAATCAAAGAAAAAAGGCTTTTCTAAGGTTCCTCTACCCCCTCTATGATTATCTTTCATATTTGCATTGCGGATGTTAGGAACCACACTAGATAGTGGTAAAGCCATTGAGCCCCCCACCTAACACAACTTAGAAAACTCGGGAGCTCTCTGGCCGACACCTGACTGTCGTGTGGATTCTGTCATTCCTGATACATCACTTCATAGAGCTGAAATCTTCTGCCATCCTCCATACTGGGGGACACTGGCTTGAATGAATCCCTTTCTTCCCCACATTCTTTCCCCTCTGCTTGTGGAGATCCACGGTATGAAAGTCAAGCCTGTTACATTGTACACAGATTGCTAAGGCTCCCTGTTGCTTGGGTTAGGCAACTTCTATTTTTCTAGTCTCCTATGTTGTATTTTTTCACTTATTGACTACGTGCAGGAAAGGCTTAAAATTGTTTCAAATTCTGTTTTTATTGGCACATTGTAATTACACATATTGATGGGGTGCAGGGAAGTATTTCGATATATTCACGCCTGGAAAATTGGTGGATCCAGTGCCTCAAATATTGATTTACTTTTGTGCTCAGAAAACTCTATTATTTTGAAGTATTCAGTGAGAGGAAGCTAGCGAGCTGGTCAACCCAGCTACCACACAGACTCAGAACCGGGGCTTTGAGTTGTCCCGCCCCAACATCCACGGAATCTGTGGAGCGTGTGAAGAGGACAC